AGTCATCACAGGGACTTCTCTGGTGGTCTGGTGGTTAAGACTCCGTGCTTCCACTGCAGAGGGCATGGGTTCGATCCCTGGTCAGGGAGCTAAGATCTGAGAAGCTGCGTGGCCAAAAAAACCCCCAAAATTTATTTTCTCACAGTCTGGAGGCCACAGTCCAAAATCAAGGTGCTGGCAGGGCCATGCTCCCTGCCAAGGCACTAGGGGGAGAATCCTTGCTTGCCTCTTCCAACTTCTGGTGGCTCCAGGCATCCCTTGGCTTTTGGCCAGATAACTCGGGTCTCTGCCTCCATCTTCACATGGGCTTCTTCTGCGTGTCTGTGTCTTCTCTGCTTCTGTTTCCTATAAAGACATGTCATCAGATTTGGGTCCCACTCAATTAAAGTAGGATCATCTCATCTAGAGATCCTCAACTTAATTACATCTACAAGGACCTTTTTCCTAAATAAGGTCACATTTATGGGTACCAAGGTTAGGATTTGGACATATATATTTTGGGGCTACTATCCAGACCCTTTCAGGGACCTACCTAGAAGATGTCTGATATTACAGGGCGGCAGAATACGACTCTGTAAAGGAAGAGTCAGGTGCTGACTATGAAAGGCCTTGAGCCCGGGAGTTTGAAGTGAATGGGGAACTGTTGAATTTTGAACAGTGGGGAAACACGATCAGATTTGCAGTCTGGCAGTCACGGGGAGAGAGTGTTGGAATTGTCCTTGTAAGAGTTGGTGAGGGTGGGAAGGTGCATGGGGAGTGGGGATATTTCAGGGTGTAGGAGGTAAGGAGGAAGAGGGAGGAATCTGGCCCGACTCCTAGGTTTCCAACTTGAGTGATCTGGCAGACTAACTTCAGGAAAAGCTTGGGTTTGAAGTTCCTGGGGGTGGAGATGTCCAGGAAACAATCAAAGAGATGGGTCTGCAGCCCAGACCTCTCCCTAGAATATAAATAAAATTTGGGAGAGGGAGTAAAGTAGAGGTGACAGAAGCCTGGAGAACACCAATTTTTCCCCATCATTTTATTATGAAAAATTTCACACATACCTAAAAGTTTAAAGAATTGTATAGTGAACACCTATGTACCCACCATCTGGAGTCTATAATTATCATTTTTCTCCACTTGCTTTATCACACATCTGGCCATCCCTCTGGACATCATCAACCCATCTTGTTTTTTATGTACGTCAGAGTAAGTTGCAGACATCAATACATTTCACCTCGACACTTAAACATTCATGTCACTAACTAGAGTTAAATATTTAGTGAAATGCACAAATCTTTGATGCAGTGTACTATTTGACGAAGTCAGTGAACACATCCGCCTGCGTACTCCAAATCCCTGTCAAGATACAGAACATTTCCATCACCCTAGAAAACTCCCTGTGCCCCTTACAGTCAATTCCTGTCCCTACCTGACCCCCAGAAGCAACCACAATTTTCATTTTTTTTCCAAGCGTAAATTAAATTTGTCTGTTCTAAAACTTCACATAAGTGGAGCCATACAGGATGTGTTCTTTTGTCTGGCTTCTTTCACTTAGCATAATGCCTGTAAGAGTCATTTCTGTGTGTCTCAGTGTTTTGTCCCTCTTACTGCTGAGCAGTATTCTACTGTAAGGATGTATAGGGAATACCAATTTTTAAGGGGTGGGTGGGGAAAGAGGATTCCACCAAGGAGACTAGAAGGAACAGTGAAGACCGTAGGAAAAGCATCCAGATAGAATGTCAAGGAAAACCATCTGGATCAGTTATAATTAGGTTTGACTGCATATAACGTAAAAACTAAATAACAGTGACTTAAATAACATAGGCATTTTTCTTCTCTCATATAAAAGAAGTCCAGAGGTAGACATTCCTGGGGTGGTATGTTGGCTCACTGTGCCATCACGGGCCCAGGCTCCTAGCTTTGTGCTCAGCTATATTCAGCACTGGCTTCTATCCTCAAGGTCCCCTCATGGCTCAGTATGGCTGCTGGAGCTCCAGCTCTCCTATCTGCTTTCCAAACTGGCAACAGAAGGAGGAAGCATGGAGAGAGGGGAAAAATACCTTCCAGTGAAAACAATCTCAGCAACTTTCTTCAAAGTTCCACACATATCCACTCAACATCTCATTGGCCAGAACTTCATCACATGGCCCACACCACTAGGAAAAGTAGCCTTTTAGCTAGCCACGGAGCACACTGCCACTCCAAAGATAGTGAGATTTCTGTTACTAGGAGGGGAAATGGATATTGGCTGTCAGCGGCCCTCTCTGCCTTTTCTCTTTTGACACCTGCTGGCCAAGCCATGGTCCACTCAGCCTTCCTGTCTGTGGACCTGCACAGACTGAAGGCTGTGCTTGGCAGATTTCCACCCTCCTGAGTCCCCAGGGCTCCTGCTTTCTCAAAGGGTTGTTTCTCTGTCTTCTGTATCCCTTTTCCTGGTAGGATTCTCCGGGGTCTCTGGCTGGCTTCCCGGGCTGTCAGGGTCTCCTGGAGGTTGGAATGAAAGGGACAGTATCCAGGAACATTTGCAGAGAGCTCTGAGGGCACTGTCCTCCACGCCCGGGCACCCCGCTATTGTGGCTGGCAGCCCTCTCTCCCCTCCTTGGTCAGCCTCCCCTGACGAGGGCTGTAGAAGGAGATTTCCCTAGAAGATTAGTGAGATTCAGAGGGGGAAAGATGGCATTTGGAGACAGACTTGGATTCAGATCCTTTCTGTGCAAATCTCTCTGAGACTCAGTGACTCTGCCTGTGAACTGGGGATCGTGAGAGCAGCCTCCCCGATGTGGCTAGGTTGAGATGTGGGGTCCAGGGGCACCACTCTGATAAAGATGAATTGGGCACACATGGCGGAAGGCTGGCAGAGACCTTCCCACCCTGCTGTGACCCAGGCAGCGGCAGACTGTGCGGTAGAGTCAAGCCTCACCACTTTCCCTGTGGTCCCTTCTCCCCTTGCCCTTGGGAAATATCCTGAGAGTGAAGGCTCTGGTCCTGTGACCCCTGGGAATTGGTCAGTGCCCAGGAGAATCAGCGGGGCCTGCTGGAATCTGAACGGATGGCCAGGCCAGTGTTCATCAGAGTTCACATCCCCCGCTTGACTCTAGGCACTAACAGGGCAGCCTGGAGCCTCCTGGAGGAAAGACCGCAGGTTAACGTGGTGTTTCGTTCCCTCCTCGTGCTTCTCCAAAGTGAGTAGGTCTCACCAAACAGCCGGGCTCCCTCACAGTGCCAGACTCGGGCAGCCCGGATGCTGTGGTTCTTCTTCCTCCCTCCCAGGATCACTGGGGGCACTAGAGGGCCACGCACTGTAGGAGTTCTGAGCTGGGACGCCAGGGGGGACACTGTGGAGGAAGTGATATCTGAGCAGACGATGGGACAGACCCAGCCAGGGATGGAGGTGGGGGAGGGTCCCTCACACAGCTGTAGGAGAGACCCCCATTGGTGGGGTGAAGATAGCAGAGTCGGCTTACCCCCACCTGCTCCTGAGACAGAAGCCCTGTATCCTCCCGGCAGTGGGTCCTGTTTCCCGGGTGCCTGGCACAGACACGTCCCAGTGTCTGGATGGCTAGGTCCTGTGGTTCTTCACGTGCACGCCTGTCCTGGGGAAAAAAATAATAGCTCACGTCCCTGACAGCTTAATGGGCCGTAAGCACGGGACTGGAGAGGAAGTCGGCAGGAACAGGTGCAGCGAGGCTGGGGGACGCTCTCGGCTGCCAAAGGGGCAGATTGGACTGAGTGTGGCCGTGGCCGGGCGCCCTGGTGACCCGTTGACACCATTCTCAGGCTGCCGGCGGCCCCGGGGGCTGGTGTGTTGTGACAGGAGGAGGAGCCAGGGCCCCGCTGAGAACTTGGCTCAAGCCTCAGACCTGAGAGGGACAGTGCATTCCTCTGCCCATTCACTCACTCCACACATGTTCCCAAGATCCTGACCCATGTGGGCCGTGGCTGCTGGGCACACAGCGATGGCTGTCACCCAGTTCCCGCGCCAGGTGCTCAGGGACGAATGGACAGGATCACTGGGGGCACTAGAGGGCCACGCACTGTAGGAGTTCTGAGCTGGGACGCTGGGGGCGCGGTGGGGGGGGACACTGTGGAGGAAGTGATATCTGAGCAGATGACAGGACAGACCCAGCCAGGGGTGGAGGTGGGGGAGGGTCCCTCACACAGCTGTAGGAGAGACCCGCACTGGTGGGGTGTGATGAGGGCCTTTCTGAGATGCTGCCTTGCGCCCCCATGGACCCGGCCTGCTGTCCAGGAAGGGGGTGTCTGGGCGGGGGCTCTGGCCCCCGAGTGGTGCTGGCAGCGCCGATGGGGTTAACGGCAGCTTGACTTCCCTGTGGCTGTTTCTTCCTTCCTTTTCCCAAGGAATCCTACATTGAAATTACAGAAATAAGTTCCGGCTTTTGAGAAGTCTGCTGTGCAACCGCATCCCTGCCAGGCCCGGCCGTCTTCTCGCCCGTGCTCTGCCAGCCTTGGGCTCTGACCATTGCGGAGCCTTGTTCGAGGGGTGAAGGCTCCCTCGGGTGCCGTTCCTCAGCCCCCACCCCGAACCCTGCTCTGCCCCCCGATCCAGGGATGGGGCTCAGTGTACAAATGGTACCCAAAGAGGAGGGGCGCAGGAAGTGACATCGCTCGGCCCGCCCGCACCTCCTTATTCCCTATAAAAAGCAAAATGGTGACTCAGAGAGGAGAGTTGGAAGCGTCCTGCCGCCTGCTCCCACTGTTAATTTTTAGACTTGGAATTAGGCAGGAGGCAAAGGAAACAGCGGCTCGAAATACGCGACTGACATGCTATTAAGCCGGTGGCAACAGCGGAGCCACTCCCCGTCGACTCCCAGCGGCCCCTGAACCGCAGCTCCTGGTGCCTGCTGGCTCTCCGGGCCGCGCAGCCCTGCCCGGGCTGGGCGTGGATGGTGCGGCCCGGGGCATGGCAGCTGGGGACCGACGCTGGCGCCCACTGCGCTACCAGTCCCTGGCAGCCCTCGTGGAGGACTCTCAGTGGCCTTTCTTGTTCCTTGTCTCAGACTTCAGCTACGGGGCAGACGACTACGACGGAGAGGGGAATGAAGAGCAGAAGGGGCCCCCGGAGGGCTCGGAGACCATGCCGTACATCGATGAGTCGCCCACCATGTCGCCCCAGCTCAGTGCCCGGAACCAGGGTGGCGGGGACAGCATCTCCCCCAACCCACCTGAGGGGCTGGCACCTGGGGTAGGTACACCTGCTTTTCCTTCTGGGTTTGGGAAGAGGGGGCTTTTGGGGAGGGGGGTAGGCAGGCATGGGTGTCGTGGGCCACGCTCTGCTTGGAGCGCTACTGGGGTGCAGGACTCGGGAAATTTGGGCTTGCTCGTGGTGCCCTCATCATCTCATTCCGGTCCTGGGCCTCTCAGATTAGCCCCCGCCCCCCGCCTGCTGCTCTCTCTGCCACTGCTGCACCTATCCCTGCCTCTTCTACCAGCCATCTGCTCCCCCTGCCTCCTGGACACCTCACTTCCTCTTTCAGCTTTCTCTCTCAGTCCTTCTCTAGCAGGATGGGACCTTGTGGGAGGGAACAGGCTCTCCTCTCTGGGCCCGGGCTGGGCAGTGGCTGCATATGTGAGTTGTGGGCTATAAATGCACACGTCCCAGCTCAGCAAACCAAGGCTGGCCTCGGCGCCGCCAGTGGGGGGAGTGAGCAGCTCCTGTAGCATTCCCTGAGGACCCAGGGCCCCGTGCAGCCCTCCTCTGTTGACTCTGGAAGGGAATGAGCCGTAATGGTGTCCACCTCTCCTCTTGTCCACCGATGAGAGCTCTGCTCCAAAGAGAAGCATTTTACAAGCAATATTGAGGATGTGCTCTGAGACAGGCGGAGGGATAGAGATGCGAGGAGGTTTGCAATCCTTGTAATTAATGCTGTTCCTGGGCCCAGAGACCAGCTCTGTCCGTGCTCAGCTTGTGCGAGTGTGTCTGAGACACAAGAGCAAGTGAGACAGAGGGATTCCTGGGGGCTATTTTTCAGAAATTGGGAAGAATCAAATTTCTTCTTGGGTGGGGGGCGGGGGGGGCTTGGATTGCTTGGTCCTGCTTGGTAGGGGGCTTGTCCAGGTGTGTTTTATAGGGGGGTCCCCTTTCTTCCCTCTAATACCCTTGAGGAGCAGTCACTGAGTTGCTGCGAGTTACTTGTTTCCCTCCTGCAGGGCCCAGCATACCCCCACTCCAGCCAGGGGGCTGCCTGGACCCTACCATTTCTTGTGAACCCCCTGCTTCCTTCCCTCCCAGCCTCCTTGGCCACCCTCCACTCCTGCGTAGAGCTCTCACCCCCTCTTCACACAGCCGGGTGGCTGTTATAGCCTTTGGCAACAAGGGCCTTGGCAACCGGCTTCCCACTTGGGGGAAGCCACATTGTTGCCATGGCAACAGAAGCCTAGGCAGAGCTTATCAGCTGCCAGGCAGTGCAAGTTTGGGAAGGGATGGTGGGGGCAGGTGGGAGGTGGAAGTGATGGGCAAGGGCGTCGATCAGGTTCAGGCCCCCCACAGCTGACATTCTGGGGTATTGTCCTGTCGTCCTAAGGAAGGGTGGCAGGTGAGAGATAGCCATCTTGGACCTGCGGGGCAGGATTCTTGCTACTGATGGAGGAGAGGGTGCTCTGGGACCTGAACTGACTCTAACCAGGGGAAGCAAAGTGACAGCTCTTGCTTCCCGTCTCTGCCTTTAGGTCTCTGACCACAACAGGGCTTAGAGACATCCCCCTCCCATCCCGGAGACTCAGCTATTACCCCTGTGAGCTGGTGTAGAAAGAGTCACTGTAGGACTCAACACAGCACCAGGAATCCTGGCTGAGAGTTGAGAACGTGTGGCCAGATTAGAGCCACTTGCTGAAGAGAAAAGCCATTTATTTCCCTTTCTCCTCTGCCTTCCTCCTTGCTTCCTGTCCTGTCTCCTTCCCTCATCACATGACCACCTTGCTGGAGTGCTTTTCCATCGACTTTTAGATTCCCTGGTGAAAGGTACTCAGGTGCTTTCTCTAGTGAAACGGGTCACAGGCATAACAGGGAGATGCCCCCACCTGGAGCTCTGAGGCTTCAGGGCAGGGACTTCCTTTACTACGATGCTGCCCATTTTGCTTGGTGACTCACAAGGGAAGAGCTTGGTTTGAGGACTTTGAAATCCAAGAGATGCTACAGTGACAACTGGCCAAAGTGCTTGCGAACCCCAGGATTAATTTTTGCACCATTGGCTAGAAATTATACACGGTAGGGGTGGGGAGCATTAATCCAATTTGGGGATCCTAGCAAAGTTTCCAGCCCAGTGTACCCGCTGCCAGCCTACCTTCCCTCCTGAGTTGCATTTCTGCCCTCTCTGCTGTGTCACTGGCCCCATCTAGTGGACTCAGCAAGTATTGCTGTGTACATTGGGGTGCTGGAGAGAGTTGACACGCCTCTTCCGGAGTACTTGAGGGCTGTTTCAGTTTTTTTTTTTAAAAAAAAAAGGAAAGAAAAAAGAAAGCCAAGGTTTCTGCTACTTGGCTCTGCTCATTTGACCAGGCAGGTCCCCTCCCTGCCAGGCTTCCTGTTGGGGCGTTGGGAACCAAGGGGACTTTTGGACCAAATCAGACGATTGTTCTAGATATTCAGGTATCTACCCTCTGGCAACCGGACATTCCACACCCAAATGTGCATCCAACTTGTTCCTGGAAGCCCAAGGTTTGGTCTTTATATTAGGGTTCTCCAGAGAAACAGAACCATTAGGATACAGAGAGAGGATTGATTTATTATAAGGAATTGTCTCACTAGATTATGGAGGCTGAAAGGTCCCAAGATCTGCAGTCAGCAAGCTAGAGACCCGGGAGAACTGACAGTATAGTTAGTTGCAGACTGAGTCCAAAGGCTGGAGAATCAGGAGAGTTGATGGTGTAAGCTCTAGTCCGTATTGAGTCCAAAGGCAGGAGAAGACCTATGTCCCAGCTCAAAGACAGGCAGAGAGAGTGAATTCTCCCTTACTTAGCCTTTTTGTTCTATCCAGACCTTCAACTGATTAGATGAGGCCCACCCACATTGGGAGGGCAACCTGCTTTACTCAGTCAACTGATTCAAGTGTTAATCTCATCCAGAAACACCCTCACAGACACACCCAGAATAACGTGTGGCCAAACGTCTAGGTATCTGTGGCCCCATCAGGTTGATGCATAAAACTAGCCCTCACGGTCTTACTCTCCCAGCAGCTCAGAGAATGGAAGGGACATGAGCTTTGCATAGATGAACATGTTCTGCTCTCTAGCTGTGGGACTCTGGATCAGTGTCATAACCCCTCTGAGCCTCAGTTTCCTCATCTCTAAATAGGACTAACCACCTGAAGGGTTAGAGAGGACGGACTGGGATAGCTCAGGTGAGGCCTGCAGCACTGGGCCTGGCTCACTGTGGGTCCTCAGTCCTTGGCGCCCAGGGCCCACGAGACTCTCCTCACCAGCCATTAGAGGGGTGGGGAGCCCAGAGCACTGCGAGGACCTGGTCTAATGAAATATTTGCTGGACAACAACTGAATCTGCTTTTGCAACCTCCTTTCTGGGGTCAAATCTGTCCTCCCAGGTGTGGTAGCCCAGATGAAACCGGGTCTCCGGTGTTACAGGACAAATGCTCTTCACTCCCCAGAACGCCCTGCAGCCTCACTCTGCTCTCGCCTTAGCTGTGCCGCTGTGTGCAGCCCAGCGAGGTATCAGGGTGAAAGCCCCGCCCTGCAGACCCTCACTCTCCCCAAGCCCAGGCTGAGTATAGCTCCCTCCGGTGCAGAGAGGGCCTGCTTTCGCCCTGGGAAGGACGGGCGGGACTCTCCATCTCACTGACAAGCGGGGCACATGTTCCCCTGCCAGGACCGTGGTCATTCAGAAAAGCGTGTGCCCCACAAGCCATGGACTCCTCTGACTCCCCTCTCGGGAGGCACCGTGAAAAGGGGCCACAAGGCAGAGAGAAGATCTGGTTGTTGTCTCAGTGCCACCACTTCCTAGCTGTGTGACCTGAGGGATTTCACTCATCTGAGCTCCAGTTCGCTCATCTGTAAAGTGAATATACTGAGAATTTCTTCCCTCCTGACCTCACACAGCTGTCGGGAGGCTTCTATGAGATGCTGCCAGTAAAGTCTGTACATGTTAGTACTGCACTAACCGCTGAATTGAGGAGTTTAGACTCCAGACGGCAGGATAATTTAAAGATAGGTGGGGAGAGTTGAGATGATCACCATTGTCATCCTCACCTTCCCCCCTCCCCCGCACAACCCCCGCTTCCTCACAGCTCCTTAGACTCACCTTGAGCCTTTTACATGGGGAGCCAGAGATATACTTAAACTTGGTCTTTCTTTTATTCTTTTTTTTTGGGCCTGCATATGGGATCTTAGTTCCCTGACCAGGGATTGAACCCGTGCCCGTTGCATTGGAAGAGCAGTCTTAACCACTGGACCGTCAGGAAATCCCTAAACTTGTGTCTTTCTGATGCTGGAGTCTGTGTGGTGCTCCCAGGTCCCCTCAGATACCACCTCCCTTGTGAAGGTTTTCTAGCCTGTGGCTGAGCCCTCCGCTGTCTGGGGACCGTGCAGTTACTTGTGGGGCACGTCTGCCCTGCGAGATCCGGAGCCCTGATCCCCGATCATCTCCGGGACCCCCATCAGCAGCTCCCGGGCACCTAGGTGTATTCACCCGACATTTATGGAATTGAATCAAGTAGCACTGGGTTGGCCAGGGAGCTGGGAGGCAGGGCAGATACAGTCTCAGGGGATGAAGCTAGGACGAACTGCTGCCCCCTCTTCCCTTCCTGGTCCCTTCTGAAGCCTTGGGGTTTGGGATGTGAGGTTGCAGGACAAGGAGGTCGCTTCTAAGTGAAAGGAGAAGCCACGTGGCAAGCCGGAAACATCTGAGATGGTGTCCCAGTCTGCTCTCTTTGGATGGCGTTCGAGGCCTGGGCTGGGTGGGTTGGCGGCTGCCCTTTATCTTTACGCCTCCCAGGAGTTTCCAGATGCAGGTAAAACCAGAGACATCTCTCCTCAGGTTGCCGACCTCCTGCCTCAGCAGCCTTGCTCCCCATTGCCCCCTTTCTGGATCTTGGTCCCCACTCCAAAGAGGAGGAGCTTGCCTGGCTCCCCCTACGTGCCAGGTGCTGTGCCAGGTACCCACGGGCTTCATCGCCACCTATCCCTGCAACCACTGGGAGAGCCCCCCATTTTGTAGATGAAGGAGCTATGGCTC